TCTTTCTGGAACCCAGAGCCACCCCTCTATGACGGGTGGCATGGTTAAGGAGCTGGCCCATGTCAGCAAGAAGGCTGGCAAGACAAGAGTGGGATTCCAGACCCCTACCCCTGGTACCAACCCACCCTGGGTGGTGTCTGTAAGGCCATTTTTCCCATTTGCCAACAGCAAGTCTTAGAATGGGCTCCCCACAGCCTCCCCACCTTCTCCCTACACTTCCAACAGTCCCCTACCAGGCCCTTCTGAACAGAGGGGAGCTGCTGCCTGCAGAATGGGAGGCCCAGAGGGGAGGGGAAGGAAAGGGGAATGGGCTGAACGGCCTGCAGAGTGCTGGCCCCAGAGGGTGCTGCTTGGATAAGCTCAGAGACAGAAAGTGGCCATCAAGGGAGCTGAGAGTTGAGGGCACCCAGGAAGCACTCATGTCCTCTCTGACCCTGTTCCCCAGTAGGTCCTGCGAGTCGGTCCCCAGGGAACCTCACCCACTGGGCTTTGGAGGGAGAAGATGGGGCTACAGAGCCGCACTGCTTACCTCGGGGGTCTAAAGGAATATTGTATGTGTCCCCAAGAACTACGGAGTGAAAGGCAGTGCACACAGAGGGGACGGAGGGAGACAAAGGAGGGAGAAAGATGCAAAGGGCAAAAAAAAGGTTAGAAACAGCGTGTCAACCTGAGTCAAGCAGACCTCTCCCCATGACAGCCAGAACACAGACAGCAGGACACACCAGGTGGAAGCCTCCGGAAACCAGAGAACACGCCGGAAAGTAGAGATCCGGAGAACCACAGGCTAGAGGCCGTCCCTTGGCCCTTGCCCCGAAATGGGAAAAGAGGGGAGGGCCCAGGGCCTCAAAGCCAGGAACGAACTGCAAAGGCTCTCTCCTCCTCCTCACATGCTGACTTCCTAAGTGCCAGTCCCAGGGCAGTGGCCGGCAGGAAGACACTCAAGTGACCCTGCGATGCCACCCGCTGAAGGGCCAGCTAGGGGCGTCAGGGTGCCTTCCAATCAGCCACTGCCACTCCCACAGCAAAGACGGTCAATGGGGCCAAGGGAAGGGCCTGAGGTCTGGTGTCCACTCACATAAGGCACAGGCAGGTCTCATTCTCCCGACCCTCAGCCCCGACCCCTCCGCAGGCCACACCTCAACCCCTCCACAGACTGGAGAAACCTCCTCACCGAGCCCTGCCCTCACCCAGATGGGTCGGTGCCTCCTAGGGCCTAACCCCACGTCTCCAAGCAAGGGGACAGTGGGGCAAGGGGCCCAGCCGGGAGGTGCCAAGTACCTTGGGAGGCCAGCATGGCCCCTGCCGTCTCCTGGAAATCCAGAAGCTGCTGCAGGAAGAGGATGGCCTGGGTGGGGAGAGGACAGGTTGAGGCAGAAGGTGAAGTGGCAGGACAGGTCTGCCAGCCTCCCACAGTGAGCCCTCTGACCAGGGCAAGTCCAGGGAAAAGGGCAGCAGGAAATGTCATCTTTCACCCTCTGGGCTTTGGTCTGCCAGGAAAGGCCCCGTCTGCTGGAGACGCTAAGCATGTCACCATCCACCCCACCATCAGTGACCGCTTGTGCAGGTGCAAGTCACTCTGGGCCGGGCTGGGTCCCTGTCACTGGTGCTGCGGCTTCTCCAGGGCCCCTCCCCTGCTGCCTCCCCTCCCCAGGTGTCCTCAGGCAGCACCTACGTTGCTTGTGAGCTCGTGCACAGTGCCGTCCTTGGGCATGTTGTATTCCTTGTCTGGGTCATTCTGTGGAAAAAACAGCCTCAGCCTCTGCTTCCCTGAAGCAGCCCCTACAGCAGCCTCAGGCCCACCCCATACCCCATCTGCCCGCTCACAGCGCCACCTCCTGGCAGACAGGTGTTAGGATGCCCCTCAGGCACAAAGGGTAAGACAGGACCAAAAGAAAGAGGGGGCTTCCAGTGGCAAGGGCCCAGAGCCCCCGGGAGGGAAAGCGAGGCTCATGGGTATTGACAAGAGGCCGGAAGGCAGCTGGCTTCCCTATAAGGTAAACCCACCCCTCTGGGAGGCCTGCTCTCTGAAGGAGTCCCCGGGGCCAGGTCACTGGGGGCTGGGAGTGGAAGGAGAGACGGCCACCTTGATGTTGTCTGCAAAGTCCTCCAGCGCTTTGGCTCCAATGGTCTCCATAGAGGTGATAAGGCCAGGTAGCTTGTTCTTGGTGCTGGCGGCCGTGCCCTGAGGAAGCACAGCACTGTACACCCTGGCCAGAGCCTGGCCCTCCAGGACAGCCGGGGCCTGGAACCCACCCATTCCAGTCCTGGGCACCCTGGGCACCGATCCTCGGGCACATGGGAGCCACCAGCTCTTCTCCGATTACCCTGCAAGTGTCTTGATTCACACAGGGCCCTACAGGAGCTGTTTCCCTTTACCTTGGAGCACAGGTGTGGGGGCGGGGAATGGAGTTCTCCCAGTGAGGGTGGAGGACAGCCATGCTGGCCAGCGGAATTCCACTTTCCCATGTCCCCAAGGGCCACCCGACCTACATACCTGGAGCACCTGGTCAAACTCAGGCTTGGTCTGCTTGAGGTGTCGCAGGATGGGGAAGACGGTGAGCACCGTGGAGAAGTCGTGCCGGATGATGGCCTTCCGGGCAGCAGACACGATGTTCTCCCCCTCGAGCATCAGCCCGTCCAGCGCATCCTGGGAGGGACAGGGTGGTGAGAGCAGTGCCTGGAAGGTGCAGGCGCCCCAGGGGGTGTGCAGGGAAGCCAACATGCTGTGGCACAAAGAGGGGCAGGGTAAGTGTCCAGCCACGGCAGGTGCCCAGGGTACCAGGTGGGTGGTACTAGGTGGGAGTCATGGGCTTCAGGAGACTGGTGACAGCTTTCACTGGTAGGGTGTGGCAGGACCTGTATCAGGGAGTCAAAAGTCTTCTTCTGATGGTGCTCAGGGATGATGTCAGCCAGCAGCTGGTACTCGCTCTGGGCCAGCTTGACGAAGGCGCTGACGCAGTGGATGTAGGCATCAGTCTCCACGTCCAGCATGTCATCTCTCCCTGTGGAGACAGCAGTGCCCCTGAGCTGCTGGTGTGGGGCCAGCCACTCTCCCTGCTGGGGGGCATGGGTCTCCCCAGCTCCTGGCCTGCAGCTCAGACCCGCAGTAGATGGGGAAGAGGCCGACTGCTCTGGCAGGAAGCCACGAGGAAGGACTCCAGCAGGACCCGGCAGGGAAAACAGGAGCTGAGTCCGGCCTTCGTCTTGGCTTCATTCTCACGTCTGCACAGACAGTATTTGTCCCCAGAACATCAGATTCTAGAGGTGGCCGGGAGAAGGATAAAAGGACAAGGAGGGAGATCCCAGATCAACTTCCTGGATAAGGCAGCTCTGACCCCAGAACTAAGGATTCTGAATGTTCCTGGAAGAAGGCAGCCTAAGATGGGCAGGCGGCAGTACCTCCAGGAGGCAGGCACTGTGGTGAAAATGCCGGGCCTGTGAAGGCAGTTACTAGCCAGTCGTGCCTTCTGGAGTGTACAGAAGGGTGGTGGGCTATGGCCTATGAGGCTTCTGAAAAGGTAAGTAAGCCCTGCAGAGGGAGGGTTCCTTGGTTGGCAGCTGCCTCTGGAGACCAGATCCCACTAATGGAAGCCGGGGCAGGGGCACCTACAGACAGAACAGCCTGGTCCTATGTGCCAAAGGACGGGCTCTGAGGGTCAAAGATGTTGCAGGAATCAGACGTCAGGGCTCCCTGCCCTCAAGGGAGCTGCCTTCCCTCTCTGCCTGCCTTCTGAGCGGTGGCGGCTTCTCCCTTTGGCCCAGGCCCTGAGAGCCAGTCATGCACTCCCATCTGGAGAGAGGCAAGGAGACCTATGCCTGACAGAGAGAGCCCGGAGAGAGGCAAGTAGGCCTGGGCATCCTCAGGGCACAGTGGGCCTGCAGGACCAGGCAGGAGCAGGGCGTCTGGGACCTGCTATGAAGGCAGCATCAGCAGTGGCCCTCGGGCTGGGCTGCGGTACTCACCGGCCAGCGGCCCGTGCTTGTCGTTCAGGGCCTCAGACAGGTGCTTAACTCGGAAATCATGCTCGTGACCTGGCGAGATGTCAGCCGCACAAACACAAGCAGCATTTATCCGGTGGCCAGGTGGGCTGCCCCTCAGGGTATAGGGAAGAAGCCCTTCATCTCCAGGAGGGGGATGTGAGGTGGGTGTAGGGTAGGGGGCATCAGGGAGGGCTCTGAGCCCCTCCTCTGCCTCAAACCACCTTGGGAACAGCCATTTCAAGCCTGACTTCCAGTGGGTGCTCAGACCATCCTTGGCTGCTTGTTCCCCAAGCCTGAGGCCAAGAGAAAGCGAGGAAGGACCAAGGAGGGTCTGAAGAGCTTTGGCAGCTGCAGAGGGTCTGATGTTTGGCCCCAGAGGGATTCCCCATCGTATTTAGGGAGAGACCCAGTTACAGAAACGTCACTGCTGGGTGAATGGGGATAGCCTTCTTTAGTGCCTCAGGGCAGCTGAACTGGCTGTCCCTCCTATTGGAGGTAGGGAAGGACGTGGCCTCCAGGCTGCCTGTTCCCTGCTGCACACACTCCCTTTTCTGAAGAGGGGAGTGACAGAAGGCCTTGACCAGCTGGGTCCTGCCACTGCTGGTCTCAGCGTGAAAAGGCTGCCCCAAGACAAAGAACTTTCTCTGATTTCACACAGGAGACAAGGACAGAGACAGAGAGGGGAGGAGTGGAAGCCCCAGGGAGGGCAGAGCTGCCTTCAGCAAGATGGAACCAGGCCGAGGGCCATAAAACCTGTCCCTATGTCCGCTGAAGCCTGAGTGGCATCAGGGACCTGCGGTTCCCACCCTGCCCCACTGAGGGTCCCCCCCCCCAGGCCCTCCTAGGGGAGGCTCTGCCCTGCCAAATGAGCGACACACAGTGGAGGAGGAGGGAACAGGAGGAAAACACAGGGTGATTACCTTCCAGAGGAATGAGGTTAGAGCCCCCCTTTTTCCCATCTAGACCATGCTGGGAATACTGTTTCAGAAGGTTCTGAGCTTTACGGATCGTCCCTGTCACCAGAGCCACACAGAGAGGAGATAAGAAGACCTAGGAAATGAGTGAGAGAAAACAGCAGCGGCCCTCCACCTGCCCCAGGCCCCACACCCGGCCCCCCAACAGTGAGCAGGCCCTTGCCCGGGACCATGGAAGACCCTGGGGATGAAGATGAAGGAAAGGAGACATGTCCTGCTCCAGATGGAACTCTGGATTCTCTACTGATCCCCACTGTCTGGATTTGAGTTCATTTTACAAAGTACAGAGGGTGATGGAAATAAGATCCACCAGGAGTCAAAAAGAAAAATACCAAAGTGGCACTTTAATCACAGAGATGAGGGCTCAGGATGGAGAAGCTAGGGACGAAGCTCTCACACCCAGAGGGCACGACCAGGCTGGTACAGCCTGGGCCACCTTGAAGCCAGTGGCCCACTGCCCAGCCCCGAGCTCCAGGCAGAGCTATCTGAGCGTGCTCAGTGTTGGAGCTTAGGCCAACGACAGGAGGAAGCAGACCCTGGGAGGTGGGAAAATGGGACTGAGTTTCCCAGGAGCGCTGTGCCCAAGATGGGAGGCTCAGCAACCAGAGGCAGCCTGGCCCCATGCACCCAGGTGTTCCCCAAACCACCAAAGCAACTGGAAAAAATTCAAAAGCCAACAAGGAGTTACAGAAGCCACCACACAGAGAGGCGAGGGCGAGCAGAAGGAGAGGGTACATGCTCTTGGCATGGGGGAAAAAAAATAACAGTTAGTGTCACAGTGAAAATAATAAATACAAAACTGCAGCCCCCACAGCCTCCAGGAACGGCTACCTCTGTGGGAATGAGACATCTCAGGGCAGAAGACGTGGGGAACTAAAACAGCATTTCAAGAAGACAGGGCAGCTGCCTTGTTAACAAGGCTGTTGGAATGGATGGGGAGCAGGGGACACGCACCATGAGCTTAACTCTGGTCCATCTCCCCGACTCTACATCTGAACAAACCGAGGCTGCTGTGTCCTGGCAGCTCCCAAAAGGCTGCGGGAGGAAGGGGGCAGGGTCTGGGAGGCTCATCTCTGTCTGTTCCACACCAATTAGCTCCTAATAATCAAGTCTGGCGGGCCAGCTCACATCTGCCCCCTTCGTGTTCTCCCCATTCGGTGAGCAGCCTTGCTAATGAGCACATCACATTCCTGTCCCACACCAGCCAGGAGCAGCCAGGGCCGCTGGCCCAACAGGGACCTAACCAGCACACTGGCATGGGTGTGGACGGGGGATGCTGAGCTGGCAGGCGCCAAACCTATCAGGCACCCAATTACCTCCAGCGATGCTAAGGCCGGTGTCTCCTCGTGGAGGAGGCCTCCCTGCACCTCTCCTCAGAGCTGGGAACTGCCGTCCCAGGAGCCTGATTCCCCAGGCCCTGACGTTAGGACTGAGCCCACCAACTCCTGACAGCTCTTGAAAACTCACAGAAGCCACGGGGCCCTCACAGTAGGAGAGTTTCCGTCTTGTGCTCTGAACCAAGGGTGGTTTAGGTCTGCTGTGAGCCCCCTGGGATCAGATCCCTCCTCCCAGAAAAGCCAGGTCCCTGTGTGGCCAGCGAGTACTCTTGGGGCAGTGCAAACAGGGTCCTGGGACCTCCAGCGGGCCTGTCAGAGAACGAGGCAAGAGAGGAAGCAAGCACAGACCGGCCGAGACCCTGGCAGCCTCCCAGAGACAGCCGCTCCCAGCACACCGAAGGCACAGGGATGACCAGCCACTGTGCTGGCAGCTGCAGCCCAGCAGGCTGGGTTAGTAGAGTCGCTGTTTGCAGCAGGCTTTCCGGGGGGTGGAGGCAGCCAGGACATCCACACTGCTGGAGGGAGCAGGCAGTGCCCTTCCTGCTGGGGCCAACAGGTGCCCCCTCCCTAAGGCTCCTCTCAGTGTGCTGCGAGGGTAGCCCCCACCCTGCCATTTCTGCAAACCCTAAACAAAGACCTGAGGAGGAGCCTTTGTGTGAACAGACACCTTGTTCCCTGAGGGGCAGGGCAGGTGGGGACTAGAGACATGGAGGGTGAAAGCTCTACTCAAAGCCTGCTATCACAAGAGGAGGGCCCAACAGCTGGGCAGGGGGCCAGCTAGGAGGGGGCAGCCCCTGGCTTCCCTTCCCATTGCTACCTTGGCCCCTACCCCAGAATGTCCCAACTTCTCCTTGAGCTTAGGGCAGCATCTCTTCACAGCCACAGACAGCCGGGCTTGCCAAGCTGTGGCTGACACACAGAGACACTGTTTACCTGGAGCAGAGACTACAGGGGACATGAGGACAGGGAGAAAGAACAGACAGTGAGCTCTTCACCCAGGACACCAATGACTTGCAGCCCAGGCCTCTCCCAACATGATGTCCCTTCCTTGACTTCTCTACATCAAGGCACTGGCTTGGCCCTAGAGCCTAAAAGCCAGTTTAAGTTCTTCGGAGAGGATGGTCTGGGCTTTCTTTACTTTCTGGATCGACTGGGAAAGTACAGACTCTTCCCCATCCATCCCTTAGCTACACATCACTTCAAGTCACCCTGACTTTCTGGAAGGGGAAGGCTAGCATGCCCACCGCCTCTCTCATCCCACTGTTGTGGCTACAGCAGCAAGCCACAGGCCTTCTGAAGGACAATGGAGGGAGAGGAAGGGGGCCCAGCCAGTGGCTCTGCCCTGGTGGACCCTGTCACCCTGCCTCAGGACAGGTAACGGAGCACATCTGTGATGCCCTACTCCAAGACATTACATAACCTCTAGACTGCCGGTTAGAAGGAAGGGCCTTGCTATATGGGGGCCTTGCTGGGTGGGTAGACACTTGCTTTCTGTCCTGTGTATCTATAGATGGGGTTACCACAAAGACAGGCTCTGGAGAGATCTGATGCTGCTAACTCACGCGTTGACAGAGGTGACATAGGTCCCAGTCAGCCCTCCGGCTGTTGCGTAAATGGGCCAGGATGGGGCTCACCTGGCCGCCTGGGTGGCTTCTTGGTGGGTGTGTCTTTCCTCTTGTTGGGGATTGCAGGGGAGTAGGGAACTCCAGAGGAAGAACTGCTCTTCCGGAAATGCTCCTTCAGGCCCTTGATGGAGCGGTCCAGCTGGCTGGAGCGAATCTGGTAGTAGACGTTCATGAAATCTGAGGAGACGGAGCAACAGAGGTATGGGGGCCGCGTCCCTGCTTCTGCCCTGCCAGTGCTTCCCCTTCCCCACGGGGCAGCAGCAGACCCCACAGTGTCTACTTGTTCACTTTTTCCTAGTGTCTGCTCTGAGCCATTGCTACCCACATGTCCTGTCCCAAATAAGGCAAAGTCTTAGAAAAACATTCTCCAACAGAACCGATAATTAGTTGTTAACTTTTTTTTTTTTTGAGAGAGAGGGTCTCACTCTGTTGGTCAGGCTGGAGTGCAGTGGCGCAATCACAGCTCACTGCAGCCTCACACTCCTGGGCTCAAGCGATCCTCCTGCCTCAGCCTCCTGAGTGGCTAAGACTATAGGCACATGCCACTAGGTCCAGCTAATTTTTAAATTTTTTCTTTGTAGAGACAAGGTCTTAAACTCCTGAACTCAAGCAATCTTCCCACCTAAGCCTCCCAAAGCGCTGGAATTACAGGTGTGAGCCACCGTGCCCAGCTAGATATGAAAAATTTATAGGAGGCAAGAAGACAAAAAATGTAGTGAATTAAAAAATCACATATCTTTTAGCCATTAGTGAAGTACAAATTTTAAAACATTATAGGACAGTGATAGCCCTATCAAATAGCAAAAATAAGTAAAATTAGTGAACAAGTAATCATGGGGCTATCCATGAGTCTACCAATTGGCCTTATCTACCTGGAGGGGAGCTGGCAATGGCAAGAAAGTTACAAGTATGTTCAGACACATCTGACATCTGTACCCTTGTGAATATAACCCGAAGATCTTCCTACATTAAAAAAGCAATCTATCCTAGCACTCTGGGAGGCTGAAGTGGGAGGATCATTTGAGTTCAGGAGTTCGAGACCAGCCTGAGCAAGAGTGAGACCCCCATCTCTACTAAAAATAGAAAGAAATTAGCTGGACAGCTAAAAATATGTAGAAAAAATTAGCTGGGCATGGTGGTGCATGCCTATAGTCCCAGCTACTTGGGAAGCTGAGGCAGGATGATCACTTGAGGCCAGGAGTTTGAGGTTGCAATGACCTGTGATTGCACCACTGCACTCCAGCCTGGGTGACAGAGCAAAACCCTGCCTCTAAAAAAACAAAAGATTTTTTTTTTTTTAAGTCCTCAGATCAGCTAAAGAAATGATGGTACCATCATTCCATGCACTATTATGTGGCTGTTTAAAAGAACAAAGCGGCCGGGCGCGGTGGCTCACGCCTGTAATCCTAGCACTCTGGGAGGCTGAGGCGGGCGGATTGCTCAAGGTCAGGAGTTCGAAACCAGCCTGAGCAAGAGCGAGACCCCGTCTCTACTAAAAATAGAAAGAAATTAATTGGCCAAATAATATATATATAGAAAAAACTAGCCGGGCATGGTGGCGCATGCCTGTAGTCCCAGCTACTCGGGAGGCTGAGGCAGTAGGATCACTTGAACCCAGGAGTTTGAGGTTGCTGTGAACTAGGCTGATGCCATGGCACTCATTCTAGCCTGGGCAAAGTGAGACACTGTCTCAAAAAAAAAAAAATAAATAAATAAATAAAAGAACAAAGCAAACCTACATGCACTGACACAGAACCATGTCAAGGCATATCATGAAGTAAAAACATAAGTAATTGTAGGACAGTGTTTACCACGCACCCTCCCATTTGTAAGTGAGGAGAAAACACATACGTATTTATTTACATGTGCTCTCTCTCTCTCTCTCTCACTCACCCCCACATGACTGCATGAAGATTTTCTGGAAGCATATATAAATAAACCTTAACAGTGCTCATCTTTGGGTTAGGATATTGTAGGCATCAGGAAGTTGAGAGATGGACTTCTCCTCTTCACCTTCACCTTTCTGTACTATTTGCAAATTTTACAACTAACCAAAAAAGTAAAGAAACATAAAAATAAGGTAGATAAAGAAAAGCCAAGCCGGGCATGGTGGCTCACGCCTATAATTCTAGCACTCTGGGAGGGAGGATCGCTCAAGGTCAGAAGTTCAAAACCAGCCTGAGCAAGAGAGAGACCCTGTCTCTACTAAAAATAGGAAGAAATTAATTGGCCAACTAAAAATATATAGAAAAAATGAGCCAGGCATGGTGGCGCATGCCTGTGGTCCCAGCTACTCGGGAGGTTGAGGCAGAGACTTGAGCTCAGGAGTTTGAGGTTGCTGTGAGCTAGGCTGACTTCACGGCACTATAGCTCGGCACCATAGCTCGGGCAACAGAGTGAGACATTGTCTCAAAAAAAAAAAAAAGCCTGGACTTGACTAGATTCACAATTTGATATATAAGCTGTAATTATTGCTTATATTGGTTCCTATTAAACTTCCCCTGGAGCCCCCTCACCTTGGTTGCGGCCGTATTCCACCAGCCAGCGCGAGATGCGGATCACGTCCTGGAGCACGCTCTCGGGCAGGTGCTCCAAGGCCACGTCCTCCTGGACCTCCAGCTCGTCATCGCCACTGATCAGATCCAGGATGAGCACAGGGGACACAACCTTACTGTGTCGGGTCATCAAGCTTCGGAACTCAGACTCCAGCGACTCCTTCCCCCGCTCAAACAGCAGCTTCTGCAGGGATGAGGAAGGAAGCAGGTGGCTGCCGCCCCAGTGTTCTGCTAGCCCTGGCCTGCCCCCTGCCGCCCTAGCTCTGTCTTCCTGACTCTGAGCCTCTGCCCTCACATCCTTTAAACTGGAGAAGAAACACCAGGAAGCCTGCATTGAGGATTTCTTTACCTCATGTTCTCTCGAAAGTTATGTTCACAGGTAAAACCCAGGGTTTCACAAGAAGTAGGTGCTTAATGAATATCAGCTGATTATTTTCTTTTCTTTTCCTTTTTCTTTTTCTTTTGAGTCAGTCTCACTCTGTTGCCCAGGCTAGAGTGAGTGCCGTGGCATCAGCCTAGCTCACAGCAACCTCAAACTCCTGTACTCAAGCAATCTTTCTGCCTCGGCCTCCCGAGTAGCTGGGACTACAGGCATGCACCACCATGCCTGGCTAATTTTTTCTCTATATATTTTTAGTTGGCCAATTAATTTCTTTCTATTTCCAGTAGAGACGGGGTCTCGCTCTTGCTCAGGCTGATCTCCAACTCCTGTGCTCAAAGGATACTCCCGCCTCGGCCTTCCAGAGTGTTAGGATTACAGGTGTGAACCACCACGCCCAGACAGCTGATTATTTTCTTACTGCACTGCTAATTTGTCTTCTTGTTATTCAGGGGTTTGCAAAAGAGAAAAATAGATAAATCAGACCATGTCAAGTTGAAAATTTTTGTGACCCAAATGATTTCATCAAGAAAGTGAAGACAATGCATAGAATGAGAAAAATTTGTAAATCACACATCTGATAAGGGACAGGTACCCAGAACATAAAAGAGAATAAATATGTCTACTCAAAAACATGTATAAAAAGTCTGCTCTAGGCTGGGTGCAGTGGCTCATGCCTGTTATCCTAGCACTCTGGGAGGCTGAGGCAGGAGGATTGCTCAAGACCAGAAGTTCAAAACCAGCCTGAGCAAGAGCAAGACCCCGTCTCTACTAAAAATAGAAATAAATTAATTGGACAACTAAAAATATATAGGAAAAACTAGCTGGGCATGGTGGTGCATGCCTGTAGTCCCAGCTACTTGGGAGGCTGAGGCAGGAGGATCGCTTGAGCCCAGGAGTTTGAGGTTGCTGTGAGCTAGGCTGACACCCATGCTAGTCCGGGCAACAGAGTGAGACTCTGTCTCAAAAACAATAAATAAATAAAAATAAATAAAATTGATTCTGGTGATGGCTGCACAACTTTGTGAACACAATAAAACCAATGAATTTTATACTTTGGGTAAATTTGATGATACATAAATTCTATTTCAATGACAATCTTTTTTTTTTTTTTTTTTTTGAGACAGAGTCTCACTTTGTCACTTTGTTGCCCAGGCTAGAGTGAGTGCCGTGGCGTCAGCCTGGCTCACAGCAACCTCAGTCTCCGGGGCTCAGCGATCCTACTGCCTCAGCCTCCCGAGTAGCTGGGACTACAGGCATGCGCCACCATGCCCGGCTAATTTTTTGTATATATATTTTTAGTTGGTCAATTAATTTATTTCTATTTTTGGTAGAGACGGGGTCTCGCTCAGGCTGGTTTCGAACTCCTGACCTTGAGCAATCCGCCCGCCTCGGCCTCCCAAAGTGCTAGGATTACAGGCGTGAGCCACCACGCCCGGCCCAATGACAATCTTAAAAACAAAAGAGACGAAAAAGTATTTCTGCTTAAATGGAAAGTCAGTCCTCTAAGGTAAACTCACAGTTTTGTATCTCTTGTATTCTCCTCCTCTATCCCACTCCTAAGTTCTATTACAGAGGTCTACATTCTTAACGAAAACTTGGCAGTGACTCTTAAAATCAAAGTTTTCCAGCCCCTGATATCCCAATCTCTGATACACAGGATCTCTACCCATGAGCTGCAATATACTGGTTAGTCTTGGTGTGCCCGCACTGGGTTACAGGTGTCCCAAGGTATTGATCCTGTCAGTCCTCTAGGCAGCCAGGTGGGGTCTTGGATAGCAACAGACCACTGACCATTTACCAGTCTATCCCAGTACACCACACAAACAGCCTCATTGCTGATGCAGATCATGATGGGAGAACAGCTAGAAAGTCTGCTCTAGCAAGAGCTTTCTGGCTGGGAGAAGAGCCAGTTTCCCATCTTTGTTCCCCAGACTACTCCCTCTTCTGGGCAAAACACAGAATTGTTTGGGGCTAGAATTGTGGAGCCAGCAGGGAGGTGTGCCAGGTGACAGTGTCCAGGCTGACCCCTGCCATAACACTCCTCACCCTCTCAGATGTCTTTCCCATTGGCAGCCGCACTTTCCCTCAACACGTTGTGTGAACCTCACTTCCACACCCACCCCATCTTGCTCTGATGATCTACTGACCCCTAAACTTAAACAGAAGATATAATGCAAAAAAATCACACAGATACAGGTTCCTAGAGTAGATTCACAGAGACCGAAAGTGGAAGGGTGGTTAGCAGGGGCTGGGGAAGGGGGATTGGAGAGTTAGTGTTTAATGAGGACAGGGTTTCAGTTTGGGAAGATGAAAATAATTCTGGAGATGGATGATGGTGATGGTCACACAACAATGTGAATGTACTTAATGCCACTGAACTATTCACTTAGAGTTAAAATGGTAAATTTAATATTACTATTTTCTACCACAAAAAATCACAAATGCAATTATAAAAATCAAATATTAAATTTATATTTCATTTTTAATTTAGTTAAATTATAAAAATAATAATACATTATATTATGATATAATAAGAATGTATATCTGTAATTCCTGAGGCAGAGATCTTAAAGTCTACCGTATGTACACTGTATTATATCCTTCTATTTATCCTACTATATATGTCTTTAAGCTGGTCCTGTGTCCCTTATAAGACCATAAGACTGAAGTCCCCAAACCTCTCACAGTACTCTGAGGGCCCCTTACCACTTTGTTGAGTTCTGGGCTGTCTGGGCTATTGTCCTGGAAATACTCCACAGCCTTCTGAATCTTGGCCATGCTTCCCAGGTACTCTTCCAGCCTGCCTGTGGGGCTGGGAGGGAAAAGAGCACATCAGGCTGGCAGGGTGGGGGATGCATAGGAGGGACTAGGGGCATTGTGTCAGGAAGGGGAAGAAGAGAATTAATACAGGGACTCCATGCTCAAGTGTATTTTACCCCACTTCTAAAGCATAGGGCTGCTGGTCCAGGAGGCATTAGGAATCTAACCCTTTGGGCTTAGCTCACCCTTCCCTGATGATCTTCTCAGTGTCACTGGCCACATGGTAGTAGCTGATGACATGGTCCAGGCAGGATAACGTCTTTTCAACATTCTCCTGCAGCCGCTGCAGATTCTCTGTCTGCTTGTGCACAGGGATGATGGAGTTCTCCAGCTTCATTAGGCGGCTCTCAAAGGACGACAGGATAGACACCTGTGGGAGAGAAGCTGCTTAATCGCAGGTCTCAGAGTGGTCAAAGTACTGCCCCTACCCATCCACCAGGTCTTTGGCATTTCCTGGCTTTTCTCTGGTTTTCTGGACAGTAAGCTCCATGCAAGAAGGAACAGGGTACACCTGTTCACCACTGTATGCACAGCACCTGCCATGTGCCTGGCATATAGTAGGCAGTCCAAGATAAATAGTTGAAATTTGATTTGAAGGCAAGCCAAGCATCAAATTAGTTCCTCCTAAAATAATCACCCCAGGATGGCTTCCCTTCCACTCTTTAAAGCCAAATCTTGGTTCTGTTCTACCTGAAGCATTCCTAAACTGAACAGGAAGTAGTTTCACAGAGTACTGTGAAATGCATTGCTGGTATCTTCAAAACCTTGTCTCTCTAAGGGTGAATCTCATTTAATAAGGACGAGGACTTTATTATTGTATGACTAAATACAAATCCAAGTTTATTTAATTTGTGCTTTTGCAGTCTCCCCTAGAAATGAAGGAAACTCATTTATTGAACACCTATTGTATACCAGGCACTGTGCAAGATGCATTCACATGCAATAGTCCATATAACCCTCATAGATACCTTGGGAGGTTGGCATTCTCAGTTTTAGCAGATAACTTAGCTAAAATTCAGAGTTACCTATCAGAAGCTGCACAAGTAAGCAGCGGAGCAGGGACTAGATCCTAGATCTGTCTGACTTCAGAGCTCTTTCTACACCTAAAGTCCTCTGGGGTGAAGGCTGAGTCTTTCCTGCCCTCGGTAATCTTAAAGTGCCAACCTGGGGTAGGGGGTGGTCATCCACCACCTGACTTGAGATGACAAAAGCCCAGTACCTAGCCCACCTAGTCAGTCTCACTGTTTGCAGAAAGAGAGAAGGAAAAATGGAGAACTTAGAACGCAGAAAGTCCAGGCCAGCGGAGGCTGCAGCATCCAAAGTGAGGGGGCAGAACATGGGGAGAGGTCTAGGTAAGAGAATGCCACACTGTTGCTAGAGAAACCCACACACTGCCACTATGCCATAACCCCAGGCCTTAGGTACCCGAACCGCCAGGTCGCATTGCTCTCCTCCAGGTTGTGGAGACCTGTCTGCCCCTTCCAGCTAAGGGGTTACTCACCATGTTCTTGGTGAGTTGGTCGCTCTTCTCCAGGCTGTCTCGGATGAAGGACAGCGTCTCCTCCTCCTGGGGGTAGCAGAGAGGAGGTCATCGCCAGAAGCTGGAGGCAAAGGAGCCTACCGCGTCCAGACCCCACGGCCCAGCCCCAACCCCATCTCCTCGCAGGGTGTGCTCCCTCCCACCTCTGCCTCCTCCCCGAGTAGCTAGCCAGGCCCCGCTCCTGGCCTCTTTCCCTCACCTCCTCCCCAGCCTCCCCAGCTCCAACCCCACCTGCTTCAGCTTGTCCTCGATTTCCCGCCGCCGGGCGGATGCCTCCTGTGGCGGTATCATCGCTCCGAACGCTATAGCTCCCACTCCTCAGTATTTTTCGTCGGCGGGCCCAGTGGGCTCCCGTCCCCGTCACACCCACTTCCGCTCTTGGCCCCGCCCCAACGCGCACTGCAGGAGCCATGTTGGGAGTGGCATGAGGAAGTGCGCCTGCGCAGTGCTCAGGAACGGGCCTGTGCCAGTGGCCATCTTCGGTGTGGCTGGGAAGTGAGGCGTGCTCCGCGAGTGTTTTCCTTTAGGTACACGTTCCTTGCCTCAGCAGAGAAAGTTCTCGATAGGCCTATGTCTTGGTTGGCAGGACGCTTAACAGCTCACTTGCCATTTTCATTGGAAGACTAACCTTTTTGGTGAAAGCCGCTGGGGAAGGCGATGAATTCATTTCCCTAGGTTGCATTTTGGGTGCAGGCACCGAGGTTGCATTCCCCAGAGTGGGTGACACAGTAGACGCTTAATGTGTGCCCGTTTGATGAACCAGGGGCTTGTTTCGTCGTTCCCCCCTTCCGCCCTAGATCACACACAAGCTCACTGAACAGACCCAGTGCTTGAGGGGCTGGCAGGGCCTCTACTCCAGAGCTCCAGGGGCGGGGGTGGGGAGACACTGGATCAAGGTCTCCACAGGGCTGGATGACCTGGATTCCCCTACAAGACACAGCTCCTGCAAAACCCTGCGTTGCTCCTGCCTTTGGCCCCAGTCCTTGGGGAAGTAAAATGTCCGTCCAGATTGGTTCAGTCTCTCTGTGGACTCAGTGTCCAGGCAACAGGGAAGATAGATAAGAAGGCATGTCCTGGTGGGCGAGAAGGTTTAGGGGCACCACGCTGTAGAGTTCCCAAGTGACCCCTTCACCCCATTCCCACCCAGCTACCCAAAGAGGAGGAAATGGGGCACAGAGCCTGGAGAGGGATTGGGCAGCTCTCCCACTGGGGCAGGGAACAATTTCAGGCCTGGTGGATCAAGTGAAGGAGGCGATGAAGGAAACGTTCAGGAGACACAGTCCTGCTGCAGGTGGGGAGAGAAAAAGGCAGAGTTATTTTCCTTAGAAAAACCCAGGTGATTTCCCTAGGTGGTCCTGTGTAGCCCTGACAACTAAGTAGGGAAAGGCTTAAGCAGGACAGGATGGGGGAACTAGTGAGCTGCTGGGCTCAGGTGGACCATCCCTGAGGGCCTGCCCTAGCACTTAACCTCTCTGAGTCTTTGAAAAACATCTAGGCCATAGTAGATGCTCAAGAAGAATATTGATAACACTTTCCTCTGTAGATCTTAGGAAGGGAAACATTTGTGCTTGTGAACAAATACTTTAGCCTTTGTACAATATCATTTCAGTTTTGTAAATAAACTATATCTGTGCTTTTCTGCATTTTCTTAAATTTCCTTCAATGTCTAAGTCTAATTCGGTGGCTAACTACCCTGCATCGAGAGCCTTCTGTTGGCTCACCTCTGTTACAAACACTGTCCTTGCATTAACTTGTCTAATACTCATAATAAACCTTCGAGTCAGGCACAGCTGTCCTCTCCCTTCTCCAGCTCAGGGAGGTCAGTTGGACCAAGTCAACACAGCTGGCCAGGGGAGGGCACAGCTGAGGCTGGCTCTTCTGCCTCCCCATGCTGGACAGCTTAGGAGTGTTGTTATCATGCAAAGCTGCCAATATGATTGTGTAAAAAATTCATTGTGAAAAAGCAGGTTATAGTTAAGACTAATAAGAGTAGACAGAATGAAAAAATGAATTGAAATGATTTTCAGTCTAATATCAGACATGTGTAGATGGCAAGTAGGTATTGATTTAGTTAAAGCCATAATTGCCTAACTACTCAACACAAGCCACTTTGGCAGAACAAGTAAGCGGTGTTTCAGTTGCGGCCTCAGAGTGTTGGTTCTTACAACCACAAACTTCTACAGAACACAAAGTTTCCAACCATAGTCAAGCCCTCCACTGCCCACTCACAGAGATTCTTTCTTCCAGAGAGGGGGAAGAAGAAAGGGAGCCCAGAAGGAAGGAAGGAATGGAGGGAGAGTGGGAGGGAGAGTCTCCCTGTCCCAAGAGTGTTCCTTCAGTTTGATAACTTCCCAATTCTGGACTTCATGCTCCTTCTGCAGAATCAAGTATATAATTCCTCCACATTACTATTTCCTAGCCCTGTAACAATACTGGAAATGTATATGCTGTGACATAAACAACCACAAAAGCAGGTCACAATAATGTATGTTGAGATTATAACCATTTAAACTATAACAGATGCATTGCATAAAAGATTTCAGGAAAACACCACAAAATACTAAAGGATAAGTAGAGCAGAAGGATGATTGTTTTTCTCTAGTTTCTAAAAATGTTGACTTTAAATTACCTTTCCATTAAAACACTTCTAAGAAAACAATTTTTTAAAATAATGATCAAAAATAGTCTATTTTCCTCATTTAGAAAGCACCAGCCATCGGTAGTACCAAATGATAAGAGTTGTCAGGAGGGTTGTTTTTTTTTTCTTGAAATCCCCTTAGATATAAAAATAAGAGAAAGGCCCAAGGGTATCCAAACTTCACTGGTGGTCAATCTCTCTCTCTCTCTCTCTTTTTCTTAAGAGACAGAATCTCCTTATGTTGCCCAGGCTTGTCTCAAACACCTGGCCTCAAGCAATCTTTTTTTTTTTTTTTTGAGACAGAGTCCAGCTCTGTTGCCCTGGGCTAAAGTGCAATGGCATCAGTCTAGCTCACAGCAACCTTAAGCTTCTGAACTCAAGCGATCCTCCTGCCTCAGCCTCTTGAGTAGCTGGGACTGCAGGCCATTGCCATGGTGCCCAGCTAATTTTTCTATTTTTAGTAGAGATGGGGGTCTCACTCTTGCTCAGGCTGGTCTCAAACTCCTGACCTCAAGCGATCCTCTCACCTCGGCCTCCCAGAGTGAGGTGTGAACCACTATGACTGGCCTTTTTTTTTTTTTTTTTTTTAATATTTTTTTTACCCGGAGCCACACTCAAGAAGCATTGAGCAAATAGACTCCTCTTTTTTTTTTTTTAACAAAATGCAAATGCTGTCACCTTAAACACAGTATTTTAAAACCTGCATGTTCACTTAGCAATATATTTTGATCATATTTCAAAACTAGTGTGTAGCAAAATATACTCCATCCTTTGCATAGTATTTCGTTGACTAGATACAATAGATTGAACCAGTCTTCTATTAATGGACACTTGGGTGGTTTCCAGGTTTTATGCTATTGCAAATTCTGCAGCCTGCACATACGAGGCCTTTACATTACCACATCTATATAGACATCTATATGTTAGATACATTCCAAGAGTGGAATTGCTAAGTCAAAATGTATATACATTTTTAATTTGTATAGATGTATACAAACTGCCATCCAAAATGGTTGAACTACTACATTTCCAATATCATTGTACAAATATGCCTATTTCTCTATATCTTAACCTACACTATTGTCAAACTTTGACATTTTTATCAATCTGATAGGTGAAACATGGCATCTCATGTTTAATTGTTATTAACATGTTAAAGGAAAATGAAAATACAATTTATCAAACTCTGTGGGATATGACATGATATTGAAGGAGAATAATAATAAATTCGGAGGCCTGACAACACCTGACTTTAAGATGTACTGTAAAGCTACAAGTCATCAAGGTTGTGTGCTATTGGCAAAAGAACAGAAAGACAGATCAATGGAACAGAATAGAAAGCCCAGAAATAGATCCATGCAAATAGAGTCAACTGATGTTTGACAAAAGAGCAAACGCAATACAATGAGGAAAATATAGTATTTTCAACAGATGATGCTGGAACACCTTGACATCCACGTGCAAAAATATGAATGTAGAGGCAGAACTTACACCCTTCACAAAAATTGACTCAAAATGGATCTCAGATCTAAAGATAAAATGAAAAACTCTAAAATTCCTAGAAGATACCATAGCAGAAAATCTAGGTGACAATTAACTGAGCAGCACCTAAGTGGACACATAGGTACTACAGTAATAGGGTATTGGTCAGGTGGGAGGGGGTGGGGGATACATATATAATGAGTGAGATGTGCACCATCTGGGGGATGGTCATGCTGGAGACTCAGACTTGTGGGGGGAGGGGAAGAATGGGCATTTATTGAAACCTTAAAATCTGTACCCCCATAATATGCCAAAAAAAAAAAAAAAAAGAAAATCTAGGTGACATAGGGCTTGCTGATGACTTTTTTTTTTTTTTTTAAGATGGGGGTCTCACTATATTGCCAGGGCTGGCTTCCATCTCCTGGGCTCAAGTGACCCTCCTGCCTCAACCTCCCAAGTAGCTGAGACTACAGGATCACACCACCATGCTCTGCTTAGCAATGACTTTTTAGAAACAACACCAAAGATGTGATCCATGAAAGAAAAAAAATTAAGAGGGCAGGCGCAGTGGCTCACGCCTGTAATCCTAGCACTCTGGGAGGCTGAGGTGGGCGGATCACTCAAGGTCAAGAGTTCGAAACCAGGCTGAGTGTGACCCCGCCTCTACTAAAAATTGAAAGGAATTAATTGGCCAACTAAAAATATATATACAAAAATTTAGCTTGGCATGGTGGCGCATGCCTGTAGTCCCAGCTACTTGGGAGGCTGAGGCAGCAGGATCACTTGAGCCCAGGAGTTTGAGGTTGCTGTGAGCTAGGCTGACGCCATGGCACTCACTCTAGCCTGGGCACAACATGAAACTCTTTCTCAAAAAAAGAAAGAAAGAAAGAAAAACAAGAAAAGAAAAGAAAAGAAAAGAAAGAAAGGATTCTATAAAGAAAAAGAAGAAAAAAAAGAAAAAAAGAAAAAAAATCAAGAAATTGAACTTAAAATTTATTAATAAAACTTCTGTTTTGCAAAAGACACTGTTAAGAGAATAAAAAGGCAAGCCCCAAATTTGAAGAAAATATTTCTTAAAGGACTGCGTTTTAACAGTACCCAGGATTTGTTTTAATCAGGTATGCTATGACACGCAGACACAGAAAGGACTGTTGTAAAGGAAAAAGTTATATTCTAGTCACAGTTCACTAGAAACAGGCAGCCCATGTGCCATGCAGGGCCCAAGAGGAAGCCCTGGGGCTGGCCAGGAGGGAAGGAAACATGAGCCTTCAGTGCAGTTTCTATGGGAAAGAATGGGGGAGTCAGGGTAAGCAGGCTTAGGACCAGCTAGCTAGTTTGAATAATTTCAGTGGGTTCTAGGGTGTAGGGCTGTCCCTGATTGTCTGGTGCCTGACCTTGGAGTGATTAGAGCAGGTGGATAGTGGCCCAGACTTAGCCCAATACAAGTTGATGGTTAGGGGGGTGGGCTCTAGGTTGGTTGGTTTGTGTAGGAAAGGCACTTTTTTTTTTTTTTGAGACAGAGTCTCACTCTGTTGCCTGGGCTAGAGTGCTGTGGCGTCAGCCTAGCTCACAGCAATCTCACATTCCTGGGCTCAGGCGATCCTCCTGCCTCAGCCTCCTGAGTAGCTGGGACTACAGGCATGTGCCACCATGCCTGGGTAGGTTTTTTTTCTATATATTTTTAGTTGGCCAATTAGTTTCTTTCTATTTTTAGTAGAGACAGGGTCTCGCTCTTGCTCAGGCTGGTTTCGAATTCCTAACCTTGAGTCATCCTCCTGCCTCAGCCTCCCAGAGAGCTAGGATTACAGGCATGGGCCACCATACCCGGCCTGGAAAAGGCACTTTTGAAGGTAAGTTGTTTGTTGTCTCTAGGAATTCGCTAAACCCTGGGAGGGGCAGTCCCACCAGGGTCTGAAAGACCTCAAGATGTCAAAGCATGAGAATACAGAAAATAAAACATATGGTTAATACAGATTTATATCCAAAATACACAAAGATCTCTTAAAACTCAACAATAGGAAAATAAACACCCAACCGAAAAATGGAAAAACGATCTGAACAGACACTTCCCCGAAGAAGACACACAGGCGGCAAATGAGCACACGAGAGACGCTCCACACCGCATGTCAGTTAGGGAGTCGCAAATTAAAACAACAGTGAGTTAC